GTGATGTCTGCTAGACTCTGTACCATGGAAGGTCAGAAAACTTGCGGAACAAACTTACAACATTTAGTTGGACTTCAAAGACTTTTTCACGGAGGATGGAAGGAGAAAATAAGGACTGAGCCAACAAGCAGGGTGTGTTATTTACCTAAACTTCTCCATATGATACACCTGTACGTTCATGGCTTGTGAGTTAGCTGACTAGAGCCACAACCTTGTCCCTTGCTGTGAGAAGAGGTTCTTTTTGACTACAGGTTAATTCATAGGGAGGCTAAATTAATTGTTTCCTATTTATAACTCCATGTTTATAAAACACTGGTATTTTTGGAAAACAAACTTACCTTATTCCCTACGGATTGTGATTACCCTGAGGTTTTTCTTTATAAATATTAGAAACTTCTGAGAATAATCGATTTTGAAGAATATATGAGCTTTGGTTGGTCACTAGATCAATTTTTACGGCTTTGTAAATAAATCACATTTTCCCTCCACCTGTTAATCAGAGTGCTGTGATACAGTAAGCAACTTATGGATTAGAACAGAACGGGATGCAATTACACTCTGCATACTCAAAACTTCGAAGAAACATCAGTATTGGATCCTGAAGACATGAATAGTTTTCTGAACATCGTAATTCTTTCCAAAGCCCTCACGTAAGACTGAAGTTCTGATTTGCACCAAATCAAGCAACTATTTAAATTATTTGAAACAATAAAAAAAATACACTATGTATTCTCCAAACATTAACAGACCAGTTAATATCACTTTAGCGGAAAGATTTAAAAATGTTAGATGCACTGAAATAAAATTTTTCAAGTAGGTTCTCAATCACAACTCTCACGAAAATGTTAAGATTTCAATATTGAGATATAGTGAATGGAAGGTTATGACCTTAGTAAAGATTTTGGAAATAATATAAATTTTATCAGAATAGATAATATGACTATATATACCAAGGTAGGTTACACTACAAAAAAGATACAATTCATACACCAAGTTTTCCACAAGTTGATTTCTAAAGTTAATATGTTGTTAAATCTTTCAGAGAAATACTAAAATTTAACATTTTTACACCAATCAAAAAACTATAATACAATAAAACATTAAGTGATCTCAGGGTTAAACTATTTTGCTTCTAAGTTACCAAAAAGACATTTCACTGTCAGGCAAAATTCTGTTGTTGGTTTTAGACAAACATTATTTTGCATAAAATACTTTCATATCCAGCTGTATTTTATACTGAGGGAAAAAAGTCCTAGCATTGCATAGGAAGCAAAACTATTCATTAATTCCTTCGCGTTAAAGTACATTGTGTATTAGAGGAACAGTAAAAAAGTACAGCAATTACTTAATACTAGTGATGTTTTTGAAGTAATTAACTCATTACCACCTGAAAATTCTTTGCATTCCAGATCGAAGAATGTTCTACATTAAAGAAACAGAAATCTTTTTATCATATTTTCCTCCTTGCAGTGTGTTTCTTTACAGCAAAAGGAATACAGAAGAATTTCCTGATGCTAACCACTAATGCAGACTAGTGGTCAGAACCAGGAAATCCCAGCTCCAAACCTGAACGTGTCGATATCTCATTGATATAGCCCAAAGGATAAAATAGTACTAAATGCCATTATGAAATGATAGAGCAGTAGATCTATACATAAACTATATTTATCAGGTTTGTATTACTATAATAGTTTAGCATCTCTAACTTTTATAACTTGCATATGTAATTTTAATACATGCTGAACTTTAAACTGCTCACTTCTACGCATTTGAATATATCTGCATGAGTTCCTAAAACCACAAAATATATCAGAACGTTGGTAAGTATAATCCCTCATTTATCATGCAGAAATGCGTACACATAATATTAATAGCTTTTTAAAAGATGTTTTGTTAAGGCCAAGGTTAGCATGTGATAATTTACAGCAACTCCTAAACTGTAATGCATGCACTAATAACCTACTGAGGTGTTACTCTTAAGTCAGGTGTAAAATATATTTATTCCTCACCTTCCATCCAAAAAGTTAGTAATTTTAAGGCACTTCTGAGAAGAACTACAGAAAATGGATTCTTTATAAACGACTGCAGAGGGAAAGACGCTTTAAATTCAAATACTGACTCCAGATACAGCAGAGTGCAAAAACACCCTTCAACAATAAGTCGCAGTGCCAGCTACCAACTTCTCCAAAACATAAACCATGTCCCTTGTTTATTGGTAACAAAGCAGTGTAACAAAAACTTTTGTGGAAATGTCAAAACTGTCAGGAATGTTCCAGCAAAAGAATAAGGACAGCTGCAAAATTCCAGTGGAGCATCAAGGAAAAAGTCAGAAATTGTGAAGACCAGCTAGGGAAAGGCCAAGAGATGGTCAAGGCTGAAGAAGTCACAACCTCCTTTTCTTCCCCCATCCCGCCCCTTTATCTTTAGATAGAATCATTGCCCAAGGCAGGAGGTTGACCTTGGAAGATAACCAGGGTCAAATTTGAATGGGAAAAAGCCAGAGGACTGTTGGAAGTAGCAGAAGCGTTTCAGGAGGCAACACTTTTTTCCTCTAAAAAACAACCCAGTGCCCCCCTGAGGAGTGCGGAGGGGGCTGTGCTGATGGAAGCGTTTCTTTTGAAATTACATCTTGCAAAGATAGGAACACTGGCCCCATTGTCATAACCATGTCCAATCTCATTCAGTTTATGTTAAAGATAGACAACGTAGTCTAATGCATCAGTGTAATAAATTGAGTGTTGGAAGACTTGGATTTCACTTCTGAGTCTGCTTTGGACTAACTGCCTTTGAGAAAATCATTCAGTCTTTTAAACACTCAAGTTTACGTTTTTGTTAAATGGGAAATATTTCGGTGTCAGTGCTATTTCATTTCATTATTTTGCCTGCTATTTCAATAGATAGAATAGTCCTCCTATTTCCTATACTGCACAGTTTCATTAGTGTGCTGACAGCTGCGGTATGTCATGTCATAGCCAACCTAATCTCCAAAGTAGGTGAGGAGATGACTACAGAGAAAATAGCAAGTGTTTTGGAATAAATACTCAAGAATAAATGTAGTATTTTCTTCAGATATATGATGCAATTAGATTTTCTATCTGTTCACTACCATCAGTATATGAAATGGGAAATGATGTTAAGGACAAAACTGCAAGTTAGGAACAGAGCTAAACCTGTGGCTCAGATTCAGAGGCCATTCATGACTGTTATTTTGACATTCTACACAAATTTTTCTTTATATATATATATGTATATGTATGTATATATAAAACAATAACTAGAGAAACTGCAATGTAAACAGATTATCTGTGAATTTATCAGAAGGGAATACAAGTGTAACATCTACGTCAATTTACAACAAGAAATAATATATATTGCAAAACCACAACGAGTTAACTGGAACATGGGGAGAGTGCAAGCTATCGAAGAATTCTTCTAGCTGAAAGTTACTAACAAAATACATAACTTGCAATGGCTCTTTCAAAAACAATTTACAATAAATAGCAAATGTAGAAAAGTGTTTCAGAATCTTCTGGTGAAGGTTTACCATCAAAAGCAAACCGTTTCTTTATTAAACGGGAAAAAGAGCCAGAGCCTGTAGCACAGTCTCCTTTTTTTAATCATGTTCTAATCTGCCGGTCTGAGCTGAAAGCCTGATTTAAAATTCCATTTTATATTTGGAGATATTTAACTACTGATACTAATACATACTGTTCCATTCATTTTGGAAACATACCAGCTTTGTTTGTTTTTTAGAAAAGGAGACGTTACCAGTAATCTTTGCAGTCTTTCAATAACTCAGGAATACAATAGCATGATGAATATAACGATCTTTATACTTTGTGCATTTCTCAGATACATCTTAGCTTATGCAAGGGCATGAAGGAAAGTTCACTCCAGCCAACATATCTTTTCACATATAAATACCCTTGATTAAGAAGGAAAAATCCTACAAGAGCAAACTAAGCAGCATTGCACTCCAGGTTACATGCACTCTTATTTAGAAAGAGTTTGTTCATAAGACTATAAACACTTGAGAAAAGAGATAAAAGACACTATAAACCGTTTTGCAAGTTGTAAACATATCAAAAGAAAGAAATTTCACTTCTCTTTAGGGCTTGTTTTCATGTGTTGATTTTTGGGGTTGGGTTTTGTTTTTTGGTTTTTTACCTTTAAGGCAGGTAGCATTAACATTCTAGTTTAACGCACTAATAACATATATAGAGAAATGCCCTTTGGAAATTATCATAGAGTCTACTTGCTAATCTTCATCCACACTCAGAGTGATTAAATTCTTAATTGAAAAAGGTGTGGCACAGAATTAGTCTTACTATTGTGAGATTTATGTCAACTGTTTAGCCTTTGAAACTCTGTGTAAAGGATTACCCTTGAATATCAATTATTCTCCTCTAGGTATGAATATAAACCCTTAGCACTGTCACATGCAATGTATCTAACACAGACACAAATTAGAAGCTCTTTTTGTAAGAGGAATGATACAACAATACCAGCAGGGGAGCACAAGAGAAAACTGGTAACTCATTTTCCTAACTCAAAAAAGTAGATTTAACGTATATTTTGCTAATGAATAGTAGTAATTGTAACAGTGAGATTGCTTAGTGCTTTTAATTCATTCGGAATATAACCTCCTGTTTGAAGGTATCTTTCAATTATTTTTTGACATAGAGATTTATTTTAGAGATTTCTCAATAATAATTTTGATCAAGATTAACATCAGAAAAGGCTAATCATAAAATGGTGATTACACTGAGAACAAAACAAACTCAATACATCTTCATCTATCTTACAGTCATTATTAAAAAAGAAAAAAGCTTGTCACATACAGATGTAAAAAAAAAAATCTTTAAGAGCACTTCATCATGCTATCCCATAAGGGAAAAAAAGGGAAAAGAGGGAAGAAAGTTTTAAAGAAGCAATTTTCTAATTTTTTACATGACTTTACAATCTATATGTAAGACTTTATTCATGGAAAGTATTCTTACCCAGAAGACCCAATGCTTTTGCACACACCAAGAAGAGGCCTCTTCTCAGAAAAATTATCACATTTCTGAGTACCTAATAAAAGGGAAAACAAAAAAAAAGTTAAAAAATCACTGTATACTTACTGAATGTGTTACATTTCAAGGTACATGCATGTGTATTTTGGGGTAGGGGAGTGGTAGGGAGGAGACACCCCATATACTGGAAGGATACTGACTACGCAAGACAAAATTCAGTAGCCTGTGTAAGATTAGCTATAGAAATAAAAATAACAGGCAGAGTCACAAACACTGGAAGAATTGTTCTTGAAAAGATTGTAAAGAGTAATGAAATAGCAAAATTGGGCCGGGATTTTGGAGTTTTCTACTCATTTCAGTTGTGATCAAGGGTTCTGCGCATAAGAAAAGGGAAGTAACACTTGCTCGCTTTCCATTGTTTTGTATGTCTGAAATAAGACTGTCACCAACGCTGCAGTTTTCACACATTGTTTCCCAATTTACTCCACTGAGGTCACACAGTGTAAGAGAGCGGTCGCTCTTTCTAACGCGTGACAAACTGAGATGCTCGCGTTTGCCCAAAACACGGCCCTACTCAGAGACCCCGTCACATGCCTAAGAAAAAACACGATGAAATTCACAACAGCCTTCATAACTTCCAAGTGATTTAAGTCTCTAAGAAAGCAACGTCCACACACTTCCAGGAAGACGCGGGCTATATAAGCCTGTACTGTTTGCTCAAAGCGAAAGCACGGCTTTGACAGCACACCCAGTCTGCTCTGGAGATCAGCTTCAGCAGGTCACCACGGCGTCGTCCTCCGGCCCAACGGCTTCCGAAACAGCTCTGCCTGCGCTGGCCTTCACGTGCACCGCTACAGGTGGCACTCAGAGCTGGACAAATACAACCAGCTATTTTGTCTTCAACAAGTTACAGTCACACCTTGACTCCAGATCCATCAAAACGTTAAAGACATCACACTTCTTAAAATGGGATTTTAAAAACTGAAAACTTTGCCGTGTTGCTATGTAAACATAAATAAAAATATAATCAACTCAAAAAAAAAACTCTGTCCTATTTCTGAGCAATGTTTTTACTGAATTCCTGGACGTGTTTCTACCCAATTGCAACAACAGAAAAACAACCAACACTACTGAATTTCCTCAGTTTTCATTCAATCTTTATATGTAATAATATATTGCATTAGAAACAATCTGTTATGTATTTGTATATTTTTCCCTTTTTAAATCAAATCTGTAGACCTATAAAAATATTAGTGACATATTCTGGTCAAAATTTAGTTCACAAATATACTGTAGCTGCACTACATTAATTATTCAGAAAGGTACAACAATTAACAATATACATTTTCACATAACAGTCTCTGTTAATTATTAATAACTCAGGTACATGCAATTAATTTATAACAAAAACTGTTCAGCATTCTCATCTATATGAGGATAAGTCTTCCCTCCTACACGTTTAGGTATTTATAAAGTTAAATGGGTCACATCAATAATTTCACCATCAACAATAGGTTTACAAGTAACTTAAAACAGACAAATGTATTTTCTTTTTATTCCTATTATTTCAAGGTCTTTTAAGGGTCACACCTGTACCGAAGGTACTGACCTGTAAATTGATAAATGAAACATATAAAGTCTTTTTAAGAATCTGGCAACCAGTTTGTTTTCTTCAGTACAAGTAACAGATGAACTCCATTTGTTTCTGTTCACCTAGCCAGCCTCTCTGCGCTAAGGCTGAAATGCTGACTACCACGAGTTCTGCCGTTGATTTAAGCGGAGCCAGGATTTTATCTTACATATTTAACTATACTTTTTAACCAAGATCTACTAAAGGCATGAATTCACATGTTTCTTTATGTCTAGTTCTAAGTTAAACAACATGGAAAGGGGAAGGAAGAAGGCTTTAAAAGTGTGGGCAGGAAGCAATTGCACAAAACCAGTAGGAATCTCAGTTGTTAATACCTACAATACACATTTGCAAAATCTGTACAACAGGTACTTAAACTTCTGGTTTCAGACTGTACTGACCAAAGCCACCATTTAGAAATCCATTATCTGTTTCAAATATATACTTTCAGAATGTAACTATTAATACTCTAGAGAAAAGAAACATTATTTTGAGGACTCTGCACAGCATTAAATCAGGTTAATAGCAGTCCTGTTCATGAAATTGCAAAAGCAACATGTGTTGCTCTCTGCAATGCTTAATGGACTCAGCAACCCTTTCTAGTTCTGGGATAGAATTTAATCTTCCAAGTTATGGTGGATTAATTTTTATATTTAAAATTGTGTTTATTTGCATGTGCGATATACTGATGTTGTGCACACCTGCTCCACACAGTGTTTAACAAAATGCAGTAGGATGATTGAAATGAAAAACAGCTAGCTAAATCCATCAAATATAAAAAGTATTGAAATCCTGTTGCAAAGTCTTTTTCTTAAACTCCTTTTATTCTAAATCCTTTTAATTCTGTCATATAACACTACAGCATTTATAAAAAGCTGAAAATCCTGACAAATCACACAATTAGAGTAATGAAAACTGCCTTTCCTGCCAACAAGGCACCTTATCTACAGCTCCATTTACCTAAATGATACATATGCTTAAAAAAATTAAAAAAAAAACCAAAACTTCAATTAGTATACTTTAAAACCTGAAAAAACACCTCTGGGTAAATGACATTTCATACAAATCAACTTTAGAACTTTATGAAGTCTAAAGGTTATCCACATGCATAGGCTCAAACCAGTTTATGTACTGTACTTCCGATGAAGCTGTGAATAGCCCTCTCTTGAGCCTAATAAGGCCTCTCAATAAAGCCAATAATAATAATAGTAAAAAAAAAAAAAGAACACCTTAAGAACACTTTTTTTGAAGAAAAAATGGAAACCCATTGATTTTCACAGGAACTCAAAAGGTACTCAAAACCATGGAAATGACTTGCATATCGAATAATAAAGTATCCTCGTTTCCCTTGAGTAATAAATGCACTAAATAAATGTCAAATTCTGACCCATCTAGCAATAGCAAATACCATATATTCATTATGAAGTATTCTTTTCTGGTACATAATTCTACTGATCGAGTTCCATCATGGAAATTTAATAATGCAATGAATCTCCTGCTCAGCTAGGCCCCCTCTTATTTCTTATCTGTTACTTGAAAATTGTGTTGCATTTGCAATTCTGCCCCACGTCATTGTAGAAGCCAAACACTACCTGGAAATGCATTAAGCCACACGGCTGGCATTCATCATGCATGGTTTTCACTCCTTGTCTCACTTCTTCCTTTCAGGGGAAAACTCTTTCTTCTCAACATTTTTTAATCCTCACCTCCATTTTGTGTCTGCTCGCTGTGCATTTGTTATTGAATGGAAATGCAAAAAAGTGTACTTGCTACTTCAAACAGAAGTGAAGAGGTTTGACTCAGTCCTAAAAATAGTGTGTGAATTCCTTCCTCAGCTTCAGGCTAGTATCTATAAATGCTCTGTTTCCTGCACTGATAAGCTCTAACCACATTACTCAGTATCATTCCTGACCAATGAAGCTGTGACTGCTGTCCTTATCCCAGACCTTCATGTGCTCCTTTAGCATTGATGTTCTAGCATATCTCACTTATCTCCTAGCATCACAAAGACATTTCGAGCATCAAAGCCCCTCTCCAATACATGCAACATCATACCAGTTTCCTACTTTCCCCAAAAGTTATCAGCATAGAAGCTGCTTCAACTCCAGTATAATCTAAGTATCTGCTGCCTCCTCCACCCTTTCCATTTCTGAGATGGCAAGAAAGCAGAGCTGCAAGAAGCAACTGCAAGTCAACAGAGCACAAAAGGTGGTTGGAGAGCATATCTCAGCAGCTCCTGACTGCAGTCGGCAAAAGTATTTAAAGAATTAGCATACAAATGAAGAGGTTCAAAAGAGCTGTCAAGGTTCAAGAGCTGAGGAGATCAGGATGAGCCCTAGGCAGATACAGAAGCAGCAAGAAGCTGTAAGTGTTGGAAGAAGCTTCTTTTTTTTTTTTTTTGATAGACATTGAAGTAACTGGCTTTGATTTTAGTGGGCAATGCTACAATACTGGACCAAATTACTTCCAGCACATCCCTACAAAAAGTCCTTATACTTTGCAATGATTCCAAATTCAGTGTAAACATGAGAGATTCCTGGTCAAAGAGATAGAGCCATGCACATTTATAGAAAGTCATTTTGTTCTTTCTCAGAACATGGCAATTTTATTCTTGATTAACAAAGTAGCTTCTACATGAAGATGGAAAAGACTCTGAAACATCTGCTAGGAATCAATGTTTTTAGAGACGCACATTAATTGAGGAAAGACAAAAATATTATATTTTGATTTAATCTTGTTTGAAAAACAAAAAGACATATCAGTCTAACATGGTGAAAGTTCAAGGTCTACTGGTCTAAAACATTGGTATGATGTAGCCAGAACTGAAATGATACCATACCGGTCAGTCTACACATCTTCAAAAAAAATTAGTATTTTTAAATGTAGCGCTCCAAAATTCCTCCTTATAATATCTGTAAGAGGCTTACTTGCTATGCTTAAGAATTCTGTTCTGTAATTTCTACAATCCACACACATTAACCTTCATTATACCATAACAATCCACATAACAGTTACAAAATACTAGAATTTAAACGCACACCTGCATGATCCACTTACACCAACGCAAATCTAGCTACAAACTGCTACTGCTTGTTCAGCTTGTTGGGCTAGTTTCTCTACTACACATACTATGCAATTATTTCAGCCTTGAGGGACTTAAACCGCTAAGCCACCCAAGTGGTTGAATATATACAAAACTCACATCTGCCTTCCTTTAGAAAGCAACCTAAATATTATAGCTCTTAAGTATACCTGCACATAAAGTTGAGTCAGCTTTTGAGGTTCACACTTTAATCTACCAAAATCAAAGATGTAAGAAACAGAGTACAGAGATACTGCAATAGAATTTGAACTTTTGTCTCTTTCAGGTTTTCAAATGAAAAGCTATTCTGTCTCAATTAATTTTAGCTTTTCAAGTTCATTCTAGC